CTGTCTAGTTTTTGTATTTTCAGTAGAGACAGGGTTTCACCACGTTTCCAAGGCTGGTCTCGAACTCCTGGCCTCAGGTGATCTGCCCACCTCGGCCTCTGCTGGGATTACAGGCGTGAACCACAGTACCCAGCCTTCATTGCCTGCTTTCTATGTTCCAGCATTTTATTCTGGAACATTCCATTTGGGTCTCATAGCAACTTGGTGAAGTTGGTGTCACTGTCAGACACCATTGTACAAATGAGGATGCTGAGGCTGGAGAGATGAGTCAGCTTTCCCAAATTGTGTCCATGGTAGGAGGCCTACTCAAGGTTTAAACTTAATTTGCATGATCCTGAAGCTTTAGCCTGTTAGCTCTATATAATATGTTCCTTCTCCTATCAAGCGTCCATTTGTTACAGACAAGTCCATCACCTTCCCATCTATAACACAGACCTGAGCTCACACAGCAGCAGGGATGCGTGGAGACAAAGCTGGAAGAATGTATGGAGGAGGGCTTTCTTAGCAAATTAAGTGTGCATATAGATTAGTTTTTCTTTCAGCCATCATATTTCCCTGTGTGACTACAGACATGGAGATATAATATTAGTGAATAATAAAGTGAATAATATTAGTGAATAATAAAAATAATAAAAAATAATAAAAATATCATTGTCAAAAGTCACATTAGAAAAGGAAAAGTCAAAGAGAAATCAATTTTGAAGGGGACTTTTAACAGCTTCTTAAAGGGATTGCAATTACCCTCCAGGGTAAGAGAGAAAATGATCCGCTGTATGTCAAGTTTAAACACATGCATGTTCACACAATAAACTCCTTTTGAGCAATTAGTCTACTACGTCTTATTCCCTATTTTTCAATCTTTGTTCTGAATTATTAATTGCTGCCTCCATCTGGTACCGTAATTAAAAGTGAATTAGAAGTTACTGTGGCAAAAAGAGATGCCGAATGGTTCTCTAGATAGCAGTTGCTGCCGAAGTCAATTTTCTGTAAAGTTCAGGAGAGACTCTCAAGTCAGAAGTGCAGCGGGTCTCGCTTTACCTGTGAGCTCGCCATCAGGAAGTCTGGCACACTGGTGTCTGGCCACCCAGCGTCTCCAAGAGCCAGCGGCCCCACTCTCTCCAGCTAAACCACTTTCCACAGGGGTTCTGAGCCCGTTTCCACTTCGCATGCAAATGCAGTCACGCCCTGGGCTCTAACGCTAATCCTCATTCCCCTAAATGATCTCAGGTGTTTTCCTTCCACAACACAAGACGGGGGTGGAGAAAGAACAGCACACAAGATGCCATCAGTCTTCTACTGAATACATTCTTGGGGCTATAAAGTCTGGGGAGATAGCAAAGAGCATGCAGACACCCAGTTTGCACTAAGAAGCAAAGGCAGGAGAGTGCTCCATGCAGAAGCATTTTTTATTTCTTTCTCCTGTAGAGCAATGTCACACCTTTCTCACTGCCCAGAATCCAAGGGTTGGTTGTGAGGGTGGGGGTGGGGGGAGGAAAAAGGGCTTCCAGAAAACCACAATTAGTTACTAAAGTTTTACAAGCACCAACCAACGCAGGAAATCGGGGGGGAAGAAGGTTTCAGCTCTATTACTGACTGCACCAATGAATTCAGATTTCTACGTGGTAACAAGTCAGGACTGTAAATTGTATTAGATGATCTAAATCTTGCCAGTGTGAGGAATGTAGCTAACGGGCAGACAGTCAAAGAGAGCCAGCAGCAGCCCAGCAGCAGCTCTTTTCATGGACCATCACGCTGCAGCAGGCTGGGAGGCTGATTATCTAACAAACAATTATTCAGCTCAAATCAAATTTCTGTTAACAAGAAAAGCGCAAGGTGAGTTGGCAGAGAAGGCAGTGATCGTGGCCTTAAGGCTGCCTATCCAATAGAGGACGTTAGGCCACAGTGTTCTTAAACACTCTCCTCCTTTCAGAGGAGAGCTGACATTTTAGCAGCACTGTCTCCTTGAAGAATGGGAATTCAGGAAAAAAAATAATTTAAGCATCAGTGGAACTAAAAGGGTTCACCGTAGGGTTGGTGCATGTCTGAGACAGTATAACTCAGAAGCGTTTCTTCTGATAACTGACCCCTTTTTCACCCGGGATGTTTTCCTCGAAAAGAGCCACACTTTGTGAAATCACTCATGAAAATAACTGTCTTTGCCACGTAGAGTGGGGTGGTTCATGATCAGAAGGCAAGGCGTTCTCACACTCACGGTGGGATCTGGGGGTGACTCTCCCCACAGTGGTTTGTGTAGAAAGGCCCTGGCGTGTGCCAGGGGTTGTAGGAACCCTGGTGACCCTTACCCAGGACCAAGGAACGGGAACCCAGGGTCTCCCTGGCCACTGCCATCTGAGTTGGCTTCAAAGCCTCTGACTTGCCCACAGCAGGGCTATATCGGTTTTTACGCTGAACACCTCTAGGTCTGAGAACTCAAAATTAATACAGTTGGAACATTTTCCTTTTCACTCATCCAAAATCTTCTCCCTCAATTGATCTCTACCACCTCTGTAGTCTAGAATATTCTAGTTCCTTATTTATAAAATGGCTTTATAAAATGACAAACCTTTTCTGAGCTAGTCTCCAATTCATTCCCTGTGCCCTTCCTTCCATAAACACTGGCTGCATTTGGAATCTGTGCCTGTACCCATCACTGTCACCCTTCCTCATCAAGAAAGGTCACTTAGTCACTGTCCCCTTTAACTATGTCTCCCCCCGGACCTCCAAGACACACACACCTTTGAGCGTAGTACTTAGCTCTGAAGGACAGAGCAGGATGATAACTCAGTCCTCTGGACACTCTTTCTTTCCCCCAGCCCTGCCTCTGCCGTGCTATGGGACACTGAGCAGCTGACTTAGTCTCTGTGTGCTTTTGTTTTCTTGTCGGTAAAATGGGAAGATTCACAAGTTCCCACTTAAGAAGGATGTTAGAAGCAAAATGGTGAGCACGTGTAAAGCGCCCATACACCCGGCACACAAACACCTCCTTAATCAGGCACTGCGGTAATAGTAAATATTAATACATCAGCCTGGCTCTCTCACTATTGTCAATCCAGGCTTATTGACAACGCTGCTAAGCTCTTGCTTCACTGATTTCTTCTTCACTTATGCTATTGATTTATGCCACTGATCAGGAAAGCAGAGTGTCTGTGACATCTGAGTGACACACCGATAGAATACGTGAGGGATGAAGTTAGAGGAGAAGCAGCAATCTGAAAGCTGGGCTCTCTGGGCCGGGCACGCTGGTCCCGCCTGTAATCCCAACACTTTTGGAGGCTGAGGCAGGTGGATCACGAGGTCAGGTGTTGGAGACCAGCCTGGCCAACATAGTGAAACCCTGTCTCTACTAAAAATACAAAAAGTTAGCTGGGTGTGGGGGCGGGTGCCTGTAATCGCAGCTACGCAGGAGGCTGAGGCAAGAGAATCGCTTGAACCCAGGAGGCAGAGGTTACAGTGAGTCAAGGTCGCACCACTGCACTCCAGCCCGGGCAACAGTGTCAGACTCGTCTCAAAAAAAAAAAAAGGAAGAAAGAAACCTGGGCACTCTGCAATCACACACTACCCATGAAGACAAATCCATGAACCAGAACCAGAGCCACAGAATTCAGAATGCAGACGTCAAAGGGGTCCAAAGACAGACGATCTGAGGAGTGGGCCCTGCCTGGGAAGCTCAGATCTTCTGACTGAAGGCTTACCATCAACACACGCTTAAAACTATCTTAGAGAACCAACCCAGGAATCCCGCTTCTGGGTATACATGTGCAAAAGAACTTAAAACATGGTCTTGAAGGGATATGTGTACCTATGCCGTGAACACCCGTGTTCATACAGCAGTATTTACAATAGCCAAGAGGAGGAACCCAAGTGTCCACCCACAGACGGATGAAGAAACAAAATATGGTGTATCCAAGGAATGGAAGAGTATTCAGCCTGAAAAAGGAAGGAAATTCTGACATGCTACAACATGCATGCACATTACGCTAAGTGAAATAAGCCAGTCACAGAAAGACTGTATGATTACCGTATGATGCCACCTACATGAGGTCCCTAGAGTTGTTAATTCATAGAAACAAGGGAGAATGGTGGCTGGCAGGGGTGTGGGGAGGGCATGGGGACTTGCTCTTTAATGGGTACAGTTTCAGTTTTACAAGATGAAAAGAGTTCTGGAGATCGGCTGCATGACAATGTGAATGTACTTAACACTACTGATGTGCACGTAAAAATGGCTAAGATGGTAAATTTTGTTATTTATATTTTACCACAATGAAAATATACATATATACACATAAACTAGACATAGTTCAATGAAACCACAAGAGAAAAGGACCATCACAGAAATGAACAAGGAAAATACCTCCCATGGTTTCCGAAGCCTCACGAAGTTGCTCAAAAGTCTTATTCCTGTGTAACTCCTGAAAGTATCATCTGTCAAATCCTGTTCGCTAAAGTACTTCCTCACTTAGGCCTGTGATTTGGGAGTCTTCAAAAGCACAGGCTTTGGGACATAGAGTTATGGTCTGCGCTTGGAAATATGACCTTGTCACATGGCTTAAAAGCTTCTACCTTTTTGTTTGTCTGAGACAGGATCTCATTCTGTCACCTAGGCTGGAGTACACTCCGTCACTCACTCTGTCACCCAGGCTGGTATGATCTTGATCTTGGCTCACTGCAGCCTCCACCTCCTGGGTTTAAGAGATTCTCCCACCTTAGCCTCCCAAGTAGCTGGGACGACAGGCGCACACCACCATGCCCACCTAATCTTTGTATTTTTAGTAGAGATGGGAGTTTCTCCATGTTTGCTAGGCTGGTCTCGAACTCCTGACCTCAAGTGATCCATCCACCTCAGCCTCCCAAAGTGCTGGGATTACAAGTGTGAGACACCACACCCGGCCTAAACTCTTCTATCTTTAGTTTTCTTATCTGCAGGGTTGTAGTGACAACTGAACGGGACAACCTAAGCTAAGGTGGAAGAAATGCCAGCCATTGTTTTTACTAGATCTTACCTGAACATCGTACAGGAACTGGAATCGGCTTCTTTTACTGGCAGCCTCTCTCACAGCCCGAGCCAAGTCCACAGACCCTTTTCCACCAATTGACCAGTGATAGCAGGGGACAGCATCAAAGGCACCAGCCCGCTTTGCAAGCTCACACACCAAGTCAATCTCAGCGCGGGTGTCGGTCCTAGTGATGAAAATGTTTGTGGTTTTGCATCTGTATCCATTTAGTGATGTTTTTTAAAGAAAGACTAACCACTTCTACAGAACTTCGCTCCTTAACACTGAATATATTTTAAACATCAAAAGCGGTCACATCATGTTTACATAAATCAGACTTAAAGAAAGCCTTGGAAAAAAAAATCCTCTCCAACATGACTCAAATATTTCAAGTTGTTAAGGGTGTTATCAAGAAAATTCCATAACATATCCCTTTGATCATTCACAGTTTGTTTCAGACAAAAATGCTGGGTAGAATTATATATATATAAAAAAAAACAACAAAGAAATAGTAACTCACTATATATAAATTTCACTTCTTAATAATGCTGTGAGAAGACATTTGCTTCTCAAACCAAATAAAAATAAACCAAACCAAATAAACAAATAGGAGGGGCTGGGTATTTCTGTGTACTTTTAGATGAAGCAGAGAAAGACCAAATACCCCAAGACACAAATATCATTCACAGGGTGGCCTAGTGATACACCCACAGTTAAAGGAGGAGGGTGGACTCACTTGAAGACATTCAGAGCCACCACAACGGGAACCCCAAAGAGCTGAGCGATCTGAATTTGCTTCTGGAGGTTACAGCAGCCGTCTGCCACCAGCTGGATGTTCTGTCAAAAAGAACAAAGCAAAACGCAGACCCCTGGGTATCACCTCCCACCAAACCTGCCAAGCTGAGCTGGCAGTACCTCCCTGGCAGGATTTGCTGCATCTTTTTCACTGTTTCGTCCAAGAACGATGGCTGCAAGAATAAGGAGGTTCATCTTCAAAATAACTTCTAAAATGATTCTGGGTCCAATGGCATATGCGTGGGTCTGAAGCCTGGCAGCCCCCTAGCCCCCCAGACAGGATCTACCCAATGCACCCACACTCTGCAGGTTGGGGCCTGACAGGTACCAAGGTCCCAGGTAGGTGAGGAGCTCTGCCCAGGTATTTCTGGCTCAGATCCCTGGCGCCACCTGTAGGAGGTAAGATGTACTGCTGCCAGTAAATCAAAGTCTATTTACAGAAATGTGTAAGCCACTCCTGAAAGCCATAAAGCCAACCGTATGTAGACCTTCCATGACAAAGGAGTACACAAGTGTAAGCTTCCTATTTGTTTATGACCTGAAGACCTTGAGCTCCTGCTGTGATGGCTGCCCTGGAGGTAGAGAACAGTAGACAAAGCCTATATCCATCTTTTCTTGATATTTAAGAGTTAATAGAATGATTTTGTCCTTTCACCCCACTCATTTCCTCTTGGATTTTTAGAACAGCACTTTTCTTTTCTTTTTTTTTTTTTTTGAGACAGAGTCTCGCTCTGTCGCCCAGGGTGGAGGACAGTGGCGTGATTGCAGCTCACTGCAACCTCCGCCTCCCGGATTAAACCGATTCTTGTGACTCAGCTTCCTGAGTAGCTGGAACTACAGGTGTGAGCCAACAAGCCCAGCTAATTTTTGTATTTTGAGTAGAGATGAGGTTTTGCCATGTTGGCCATGGGTTTTTGCCTGGCTGGTCTTGAACTCCTGGCCTCATGCAATCTGCCCGCCTTAGCCTCCCAAAGTGCTAAAATTACAGGTGTGAGTCACTGTGCCCGGTCAGAACAGCACTTTTTTTCTAAGAGACCACTGACAAAGGCCTCATTCACTGTAAGCCAACCAGCCACTGGATTTGAGAGATTCTTCACACGAGCATCTAAACAGCTCCCTTACCTCCTCTGTGTATTCTTTCTTAAGAGGAACACCAGCGGTTACCTGAAATAAGGAGAGAAAACATGAAGAACATCCCATAAAAATGCTTACGCAACTGACCTGAAAGAAAGAACACAATCACAGGCGGTTTTTGGAAAGGTAGCTCTACATTTTGTGCTTTTAAAACAGTGGCTGGCAGCATTGGCTATACCTAAAGGCTTACAGGAAGCCTGTAGAAAACACCGATCTCTGGGCTCCACCCAGACCAATGAAAGCAGTTCTGGGTGGGGAATCTGGGATCAGTAATGTTCAAAACCTCCCTGGATGATTCCTATCTGAGCCAATGGAACAGTATGAAACCTCTCACATACTGGTTCAAATTAGAACATAAAACTAATAAAATGTTTAACACCTGATTTATACAGAGTACATCACCATTCAAAATCATTTTACAGTAACTGCCATAAAGCTCTCTTGTCCTGGCTGGAGGGCAGACGCACAATCACAGCTCAGTGCCATCTCAAAGTCCTGAGCTCAAGTGATCCTCCTGCCTCAGCCTCCCAGGTAGCTAGAATACAGGTGTGCATCACCACACCCAGATAATTTTTTATTATTTTGTACAAATGAGATCTCACTATATTACCCAGGCTGGTCTCAAACTCTTGGGCTCAACCGGTCCTCCCACCTTGGCCTCCCAAAGTGCTGGTATTACCGGTGTGAACCATTGTGCCTGGCCTTGCTGGTTAACCTTATAAGTCAATTTAGCTGGGTTCTAGGGTGCCTAGATATTTGTTCAAACATTATTTTGGGTGTTTCTGTGAGGATGTCTGTAGATGCAATTAACATGGAAATCAGCAGCCTTTGAGTAAGCAGGTAGCCCTACATAATGTGGGTGGGTCTCCACTGATCAGTCAAAGGCGTTTGTGAATACAACAAAAAGACTGGCGTCCCCTGAGCACAGGAGAATTCTGCAGTGGACTGCTGCCTTCAGACTGCATTAACACCACCGGCTCTCCTGGGTCTTCGGCTTGCCGGCCTACGGTGCAGATTTTGGACTTGCCAGCTTCTGTAATCATGTGACCCAATTCCTTATAATAAATATATTTCTCTCTCTATTCACACATCCTATTGGTTCTATGTGTGAAGAACCCTGATTCATATAATGGGTTTAAAGAACTAATGGTGAAAGAATCTGTGGATCCCAAAGTGTAACAGAGTATTAGTTCTTAGATTGCACCAGGATTGGCGAGCACTTTGGGGGACAGGGTGTGAGTTTAAAATGATTGAGGCTAAAATGGGCAAATTCAAGGGCCACAGGATTTTCCACTGCACAAATTATGGAAAAAAAACAAGCTGAAAAAACATAAGAGGCTGCCACGGTTATTTGCGTAATGATCAAAAGGAAGTGGATCCCAGCACAGTATTTGTAGTAGAAAAGGAAAAAAAGAAGAAGAAAAAAGAAAACAGAAGTAGAAATGAATAATCATGGCTCAAAAATACGGAGCTGTTCAAGTAAGAAGGAAGGATACCAAAAAGAGCACTACGGAAGAAGAATAAGGGATGAAAGCTCATTTATCTTTCTATTATTGAAAACACTCCCTGCATACAGACTTATGCCAGACACCTGGAACATACCAATCAATAAGACACAGCCCCTAGACTCAAGGAAACAAGAATGACATAGGGAGACAGAGAACAAGACATTCATGAAACGGTATGAAGCAGAAGGCACTACTGGGGCCCAATAGAGGGATGCTTAGCTTCACGGAGCTTCCTGGTCTCCACCTTCTCTTTCTTTTTTCTTTTTTTTTGTTGAGACGGAGTTTCACTCTTGTTGCCCAGATTGGAGGGCAATGGTGCGATCTCAGATCACGGCAGCCTCTGCCTCCAGAGTTCAAGTGATTCTCCCACCTCAGCCTTCCGAGTAGCTGGGATTATAGGCACGCCGCCACCACTGGTCTCGAACTCCTGGCCTCAGGTGATCCATCTGCCTCAGTCTCCCAAAGTGTTGGGATTACAGGTGTGGGCCACCATGCCTGGCTGGTCCCTATCTTTTCTTATTCTCTACCCCTATCTGTGCCTGCTAACCCTGTTTCTTGTTACCGTGATCACTGGCTGAGAATCATGACATTAAGCCAGAGTGGAAGAGACACAAAGAATTAATGTGGGATGAAAATGCAACCACTGAATAACAGAGCACACACATTCAGATAAAATGAAATAGGATTGTAAACCACGTAGAAAATTTTTACAGGACAGAGACCAGAGTCTGGAAAACCAAGGGACTGACATCAAGAGACTCTGACTGTAAGTCTGATCAGTCCCTGAAATAGATGCGTGATGGGTGATGTTACACAAACCACTGGATCTCTCTGTGCCTCAGAGATATTCTCTTTATAGAGACTGAAAGAGACCAGGCAATCTCTAAACCCTTTCCAGTAGTAAAGTGCTTTGATTTTATAATTTTCAGGGCAGCAGGGCAGGGAGGGCTAATTCCAAATGCATCCTACATAGGTAGGAGTAGCTTTTAAAAATAGCAGTTGTTAGGCGGGGTGTGGTGGTGCACACCTGTAATCCCAGCATTTTGGGAGGCCAGGGCAGGAGAATTGCCTGAACCTGTGAGGTGGAGGTTGTGGTGAACTGAGATTGCACCACTGCACTCCAGCCTGGGCAACAAGAGCGAAACTCTGTCTCAGAAAAAAAAAAAAAGAGAAGTTGTTATACAGATTCAATGTCTGAAATCCAGGAAGAACTGCTAGCAACATGAGGTGTTTTGAGTAAAGTCAGAATTCTTTATGATTTACTACTTTTCATTCTTGCATTTGAAATGATGATGAAGCTTTAGATGAAAATGAAGTGCTTAAGTGTTGGGTATAAGGAGTGTGTTTGGATTTAGGACACTCTGCCCTCCATTAACATTTAGCTCTGCATGGTGGCCAAAGGGAGAGATTTGGATCCAAAGTCCTCGGCTCTCTGCTGGCCTGCTGACACTGTCCATATTCCCTAAGCCTATCAAACCTCAGCTTCCTTACCTGTAAAATGACATAAAAACAATGTCCACCTCTCCCAGGACAAAGAATTGCTTTATGGCGTTTCATGATGGCAAACCTGCTATTTGTTTTTACTATGCAATAATCATTGAATAGATGCCTTTTATCACATACACAGTACAGTATCCCAATAAAGAAATCAGATTTGGCAGTGCATCTCATATGTGAATATTATAATGATAAAGGGACTTTATTTTATTTCAAAATGATTCATCAGTAAAAAAGGTTTTATCTTCCACTTGGAGATTCCTATAAATGAAACAAACAAAAATCAAAAAACCCAACAAACCCCAAAAATCTATGCACAGCTTTTCTGTGAAAAGGAATATATACTTCTTTTACAATGCCTGTAATTTCTATATATATTAGGATAGATAAATATCAAAAGTCTTCAAAGAAGTTAAAATAGTATTTGTGTTTTCCAAGCAAACCTCACTTAGAAAAAATCCAGTATTACAACAGAATTGTGAGAAGAAATCATAATAAACAGAAAGAGAAGGAAAATAGTTTTAGATGAAATCTGATGACCTGCAGTATCAGTGAACCAAAAAACTATCTGTACAAACATTGAAAAATTTCAGTCATCAAAGAACTCACTGTAAGCCTTATGTTCTGTTCAGGGACAGGAGCCTCTAACCACCCATTACCATATGGTTATACAATCTTGGCCTGAGTATCAGATATGAAGCTCAAGACTAAAAAGTGGCTGCATTATGCTCCTTTCCAAAATATTGCTTAGAAAGAACTGTGGGTGTTACTGTTGACTCGAACTTACTAAACTCAAAGTGCTCTATAGTGGTGTTGTTTAAAAAAAAAAAAAAAAAAAAAAGTTTTAGATGTCCACAAGGCAGTCTATAGGAAAAATACTCCAGAAAACTAGTCATTAGGGCCGGGCGCGGTGGCTCAAGCCTGTAATCCCAGCACTTTGGGAGGCCGAGGCGGGTGGATCACGAGGTCAAGAGATCGAGACCATCCTGATCAACACGGTGAAACCCCATCTCTACTAAAAATACAAAAAAAATTAAAAAAATTAGCTGGGCATGGTGGCGCGTGCCTGTAATCCCAGCTACTCAGGAGGCTGAGGCAGGTGAATTGCCTGAACCCAGGAGGCAGAGGTTGCGGTGAGCCGAGATCGCGCCATTGCACTCCAGCCTGGGTAACAAGAGCGAAACTCCGTCCCCCCCGCCCCCAAAAAAAGAAAACTAGTCATTAAACAGGCAGAAACTTTTCAAATGCGAAACTCTGATTTAACATAACGAAACGCTTCGGTGCTGGGAAGGCGGTGTGCGCACTTACACTGGGCCCGCCTCCGTGCATCTTCAGAGCCCGCACCGTTGCCACCAACACAACCGCGTCGGGCACCAGGCCGGAAGCGCGGCACTTGATGTTGAAGAATTTCTCCATTCCGATGTCAGCACCAAAGCCAGCTTCAGTCACTGTGGGGAAGCAAGTGGAGTATTACCTTCTAAAAACGAAAGTAGGTTTCGGCAATCACCACTACAATTCAAGCTCAAAGGACAGCTAAAATTCCTTGTGTTTATCAACACAACGGTGAGCTGATTTCCCCACTGTCATAGAAACACTCTCCATTATCTGCCCTAAAGAGATGGTGGGCGCCCTCCTCTGCTTCACACCACCAGGCCTGAGGAATCCTTGCCATGGCCAGGCCAAGACTTTTCTTCCAGTACCGTAACTCACAGCAAAGCTTTTCTTAATAAAATGAGGATTTTCAACTTCGTAATCAGGTTCCAAATTGTATCAAAGAACAATGATAGTATAATTATGATTACAATAGAAGACCCTTTCTTCTTATGATTATTCTTTTTTTTTTGAGATAGGGTTTTGCTCTTGTTGCCCGTGCTGGAGTGCAATGGCACAATCTCAGCTCACTGCAACCTCCACCTCTGGGGTTCAAGCAATTCTCCTGCCTCAGCCTCCTGAGTAACTGGGATTACAGACCCCCACCACCACACCCGGCTATTTTTTTTTTTTTGTATTTATAGTAGAGATGGGGTTTCACCATGTTAGCCAGGCTTCTGTTGAAGTCCTTACTTCAGGTAATCCACCCGCCTCGGCCTCCCAAAGCCCTGGGATTACAGGCATGAGCCACCATGCTGGGCCCATTCTCACTTGTTATACAAAGAATAATTTATTTTAGTGCCACCCAGTCATTTCTGTTAACCGACCAATTTCAAGTTAGTTGAAGGGCATACAGACCCTGGTGATCAATCTGGATACAAGACAGTAGCTTTATTCGAGAAACACCAGAAAACACTCATTTCTAGTCCCCATCCCTTCAGTTGCTAGAAAGGTCACAGCTGCCTTTCAAGATAACATGAGGCACTGGGTCAGTAGCATCTTCTTCATATACAAATAGCTCCAGGCCCTTGCGACTCAATTCGAGATGCATGATCCAATAGCATCAGCAGTATCTGAGAGCCTCTAAGAAGTGTGGAATCTGGGGCTCCCCATAAAGTTTACGGAATCAGAATAACAGTGTAATAAGATCCCCAGGTGACATGAAAGTCCATTAAAATCAGGGAAGCAAACCATTCTAAGAAGGGAATACTGCTGATATAGTAAAAAGTGAATGTTTATTAAATACGCACTTATACACTGACAGTATGACCAGGACACAGATAAGAATCAGCGGGAGAAAAACTAAGAAATCAGAAACATTTAACATGATCAGTTTTTTTGCTGGACTACAGACTTTCTTGTTGTACTACAAAGTTTCCAAATTTACAATTATAAACGGAAGCTTATAATTTTGTTAAGTTGCTGTAGCAAGATTTACAAAACTGTTCCCCTTGTTGCTGAACATTTGGGGTGTTTCCAGTATAAACAATGCTGAGCTGAAAATATCTGTGCCTATGAGCTTTAATCTCTTTCAAATTATATTCTTGGAATAAATTCCCCAGCGTGAGGTAATGGGGCCAAAGGATATAAAAAATTTTTATGACCATTGATATATGCTTTTGACAAATTTAAAAAATTACATTAAAAATGTTCATTTTGGATATAGCCACAAGCATTTTATAGTTTATTATGTGTTATTTAAACTAACTGCAGCAGAACACTTTTGAGAAATAAAAGGCATTCCTTTTTCTACAGTATTTGGGACAATTCTTGTGATTTTATTAGTAGTGGTCAAATCAGGGAAAATCACTTACAGTAACAATCCTTACTTCAGCAGTACCCTGGTAATGTATTTGTTAAGTTTAGCATGTTGGTGGCATCATGGACCCCAAAAGAGGGATAATCCAGGTGACTTTTGTCAAAAGTCATCATTGAGTGGGCTCCTGGAGGTGGAGGGCTGGACAACAAAGCCACAGTACTGGATTACATGGGGCTGCCTTGCAGGTTAGCACACAGATGGGACCCTGGGTCCCCTACAGCTACGCAGCCTCTGCAAGTTCCTTGTTGGAAGAATTACATGAGATGGCACAGGTAAATGACCAAGTCACTGGGTTGTGGTTTGTTTTTTGTTTGTTTGTTTTATTTTCCGGGTGCATACTGAGAACTCACAAAAACAGTTCACATCACTGGAACAGAAACGATAACTTTCCCACTTGCTAAAAATTATATTGAACTCCTAAGCATTTGTGGGAATTCCTGCTACACCCAGGCAATTTTTCTCACTGGTAGAAGCTCACTTTTAGGGTCACTACCGAGAAGCCCTGCAGGGAAGTGGGAGAGAGAACATCTGCTATTCAACTAGAGAGACCTGGGGGGCGGGGTGGACACTGGGAGGAAGGAGTCTGCCTGGGAGGTGTGGAGAAATGGGGTGATGGAGTCAGGCTCTGAGAAGCAAGTAGGATTTTTCTAAGCAGAGAAATGAGGAGTTGGGTATGGCAGGCAAAGGTCAAGGGGAGGAAGGAGAGGGAGGAAAGAGATTCACAGGTAAAGGACAGAGCTGGGCAGAAATGGTCAAGATGAAGAGAAATCAACTGTCATGATGGGAGAGGTTTCACCAGCAAGACCTGTTCCCTGGCCTGATCAGTACTGAGGAGTGGGACTGGAGGAACCCAAATGTTACACATTTTTTTCCCTGCTATGGTATTTAAAAAATCTGTTTCATGTCGCCCTATAGTTGGAGGTAGATTGTTGCATACATTTTACATAATGGGGCTGATCAAGTGATCTCTAAGTTCTTCTCAAATGGATGCATATTTATACATTAAACTACCCTGTCAGCTGGCTAGCTCCGTGATGAGACGGCCCACATGTGTTTGAGACATTAACATAGCAAGGCACGTAAAAGGCGCTGAAGGAAGTCATCATCTATCTCCAAACCAAATAAAAAGAGAGTAGCAGAAAAACATGTTTTAAAACACGTAGACACAAATATATTAATGACAAGTTTCATTTATAACCACTGAATGGCCTTGAAAAATAGCAAACTCCAATTCCCTTCAAAAACCTAGCTCCCTATAATCCCAGCACTTTGGGAGGCCAAGACTGGCAGATCACCTGAGGTCAGGAGTTCAAGACCAGCCTGGCTAACATGGTGAAACGCTGTTTCTATTAAAAATACAAAAAATTAGCTGGGCGTTGTGGTGCACACCTGTAATTCCAGCTACTCAGGAGGCTGAGACAGGAGAATCGCTTGAGCCCAGGAGGCAGAGGTTGCGGTGAGCCAAGATCATGCCATCGCACTCCAGCCTGGGCAACAAGACTGAAACTCTCTCAAAACCAACCAACCAACCAACCACCATAGCTCCTCTCCCCCTTAATACTCCTGTGTAGTCACCGTGTTCTCCTATCTTCACTGGTTCCTGCTTCTCCTAAAGCACCTTAATACCTAAGCCAAGGCCACGCGCGGGTAAACTTCCCTCCACCACCTCCATCTTCCTCCACATTCCCTGCCTCAAATTTCAGGCTTCTGTAATATCAAGTTCCCAGCAGAGCCCACACACCCTATGTTACTTGTCATCACCTCCAGTCCTCTTCTCCCATCTGGAACATTCCTCTTGCCTCTCTCTGCCTCTTTAACCCGCTGTCCAAGTCTCAGCCTAGCTATGCCATTTCCTGGAAGCTTGTCCTTATGCTTTCAGGGAGAGTCGGCTACCCTCCCGCCTGTCCCATCTTCTCCCGGGCCTGTGGTGTGCACCCTCATGAGACTGATGTGCCATCTCCCACGTGGAGGGTGGGACCATGCCTTATTCGTCTTGTAGCTCCACTTCCTAACACAGTACCTGACACAAAGTCAATGAACAAACAGGATGGGACTCAGGAGCCAATGACAACCTCAAGGAAAGGCCACGCTTCGGTAGAAATAGACACATGAAACAGAATCACGTAGAAGTAGCATACTTCCCTAGCATACTTTCCTTTTTCTATGTTTTTGAGATGGAGTCTTGCTCTTGTCTCCCAGGCTGGAGTGTGGTGGCGCCACGTTGGCTCACTGCAACCTCCGCCTCCTGGGTTCAAGTGATTCTCCTGCCTTAGCCTCCCGAGTAGCTGGGATTACAGGCGCCTGCCACCATGCCGAGCTAATTTTTGTACGTTTAGTAGAAATGGGGTTTTGCCATGTTGGCCAGCCTGGTTTCGAGCTCCTGATCTCAGCTGATCCGCCCACCTCGGCCTCACAAGCTGCTGGGATTACAGGCGTGAGCCACTGCATCCAGCCCCTTTTTTTCTTACAGTATTAAAATGGTTTTACTAACAGGCATAAATGTCATATCCAATAAAGATGTGACCATCTAAAACGTCTACATGGGTTAGCTAAGCTTAATTTCACATTTTCTTTCTTTATGTATTCATTTATTTTTGAAATGGAGTTTCGCTCTTTTCACGCAGGCTGGAGCGCCCACTGCAAGTCCACCTCCACCTCCCGGGTTCAAGTGATTCTCCCGCCTCAGCCTCCCGAATAGCTGGGATTACAGGCACCTTACATCATGCCCAGCTAATTTTTGTATTTTTGTAGAGACAGGGTTTCACCATGTTTTATTTTTAAAAAGATACAAACTGGAAACAAAAAAGTAGTAATAAAGAGAACTCCAGCTAGGGGAATAAAACAACAAGTGGTGGCAAAGGGCCGAGGATGCCGGCTTCCAAATCAAAGGAAATGGAGAGACAAAGAATGGAAGGAAACAGAAGAAAGTACCAAATTCTCCCACTGAAACTGCAAACTGTCCTGAAATACTGCAGGTAATCACGTTTATGTTGTTTGGCTTCAAATATAAGGCTGCCAAGGAAAGAGAACATGGAAAAGGCATGCTGATGTGTAATCAGTCATTGTGAAAGTAAAAACTACTTTAGTAAGGGACCACCAATCACTATGCATTTGGACACTGTGGAGTGCTGCATATCTGTGCCTTAGGGGGCCTTGACATGAAGACCCACCTTATGAGAAGCAGACAAACCACTCTTATAGGAAGTTTCCATTTCCTAGGTACTTCTTAAGAACTGACAACATATATCACTGATAAGA